AGGAGAATTTAAAAAAAAAGGGGAAAATGGGGGGGGGGGGGGAACCCCAAACCAACCCCGTTGCTTTGGGGCGCGGAGCTCGCTGAAGGCCAGGGCTAAGCAGGTCGCGTTAGCCGGCAATTTGTCGGCGTACGGTGGTTACCACCAGCGCGGGAGGCACCGCTCGTCCCAACGCCCGGGAAGAGCACAAGGTCCCCGGGACAGGCGCGTCGGGAGGTCAGCCTACGAAAACGCTCACCTACGAAACCGTTGATGTTGATGCCTTGCCCATAATTGACTCTCATGGCCGGACAAACCACCTCGTTTATGAACTTGTGGGAGAAGCCGGCTTTCTGCATGGCTTCGTCGATGGTTTGGTTCAGCATGCGGGTGAAGTCGTTCCCTCCGAGGGCGTGAAGCAGGCGCTCGTTGCTGCTGAAGGCGTAGTCGTGCGTCTGGTAGCGATAGATCCTTTAACCGGAGACAAGAAACGGGCGTTCAGCCGCCGTTCGTCATCTCCGCCGCCCTCGGAAGCTGCGGAGGGTCTCGCAAGCGCGGCTCCCGAGAGCCTCGCAGCCCCTCCTGGGAGCAGCGGGGCTTGTCCTTCCAGCCGAGCCCTAGCCTAAGCGGTACGTGCCTAAGTGGACCTGGACCTTCGTTACTCGTTTGCTGATCTTTCCTAACGAAAGCGCTTTGGGCGCCGTTACGGATTTAATTCTCTTTAGCAGCCGGGTGCCAGACCGATGGGACGTCCCAACGCCTGACACGCGTCTCCTCGTTATTGCTGTACCTGTTTGAAGATGCCAGTGCTTATCTCCACCTTCTTCCTTAGGAAAACGATCGGCAAGGGAGAGAGGGCAACCGGCGACTCCCTTCTCAGTGGCGATGGGATGATTTCACCGATTTTTTATTTATTTTTTTTTTAAACAACTCGGCAGCAGGTTTCGCACCTTTTCCTGCAGCCGCTTTCCCACCTCTTCCCTCGCCAGGGGCCCGACGTACCGCATGAACTTGTCCAGGACGTCCTCCACCCACATGTACATTCGCAGGGGGTTGAGCCCGTAGTGCCAGAGGAGCTTGAGAAGGTTGACGACGTACCAGCCGCTCTCCTCGAAGACGAACTCCTCCCCGTTATAAATGCCTACGAGGTTGCTGTGCGCCGGGGCAACCGAGAGGCCTTGAGGAAAAGGGGTGGGGGGAAAAAGGTAATTTCATAGAATCATCGAATCATTGAGGTTGGAAAAGACCTCGAAGATCATCGAGTCCAACCATCGACCCCACACCCCCATGCCCACTAAACCATGTCCCTGAGCGCCTCATCTCTACGCGTCTTTTAAATACCTCCAGGGATGGGGACTCAACCCCTTCCCTGGGCAGCC